TTTGCTGCCAACGAGGATATCATGAAAACTATGGCCGACGAAGTCCAGTTCTTCGAAATAGTGGGGTCAGGGGTGAATTTAGCAAAGTCAGCTACTACTACTGGAGTATGCGCTGATAAGGCGATATTCTTGGAAGGAGCTCAAAGTTACAAATACTTTGGCATAATGAAGTACAGGACTAGCGCTCCAACTCGAAAAAGCTACGATAAAGTGCGAGCAGAGATTTTGACGAGAATTGAACGACTATCCAAACTGCACTAAACGGTAAGAACTTTATCAAGGCAGTAAATGAGCAAGCTATAGAATTGATAGGCTGTTGTACTGGGTTGCCCAAACTGGAACCAGAGGACTTCCAAGCAACTGACCATGCTATCAGGTAGTTACTAATTAAATACGGAATTCACAAGGAACCTGCATGTTTGGAGAGACTGTACCTGCCAAGGGGCGAGGTTTGACGTGGGCTTCGTTGCGTTAAACAAAGAAGTGAGCTCATGCTTCTCAGACTACATAATGTTCCAGTGTATTCTTGCAGATACCACGCCCATATGCACCAGGAGGGCAGCAATTTTGAAGCAGGAGAAAGATCATGACACGTACTTGGCAATTATTGTGCACTATCTAAAGTACAGCCTCACAAAAACCGTACTGTCGAAAATGTATGAGCAGCCCAGAAGGTGGTTTTATATAGCAAAATAGGAAAGAAAACCTACCATGCAAAGCGATACAAGATGGCGGAAATGAGCTAGCCTCAATGTCAAATTCATCAATTTGGCCCGATTTGGAAATATTACCCCTCAGGATGAAGCGTGATACTGTCACCTTCAAGGCAGAAATATGTTTGGAGTTGAGAAAAGGTATGTGCCAACATTGTAGGCAACGTGTGAAAACGTGTGAAGACGGTGAACCATCTAGCAGCGCAGTGTGAGAAAATGCTATATGATGACTATACTAGAAGATACAGTGAGGTCCTATGATGTATTTATTTAGGTCTGTGCAAAAAGTATGGTCTTCAAGCATTCCCACGCATGCGCAGCCACTCCGTTCAGGAAATCGTCGCTAATGAGAATGTGGAAATCAGAGTTGACACGCGAATAACAACTACAACTACAGTAAGAGCGGATCGACCGGACATCCTGGTATACCATAAGAACCGACACGAATTATCCCTGATAGAAATTGGCATCATTGATCAGGACATGTTGATAGCAGTCGAGACCGAGAAGAAGCAGAAGTAACTCGGGAAAATATTTCCGTATGTGATGACCTGGGATGAGGTAGTGACAAACCTTCATAAGCGTTACACGAAGGAAATCAGTATATCTAATCACGTCTAGGCATATATCCAGTCGATAGTGCTCAAGAACACGCTCGAAAGCATCTCATTCGATCAGCGCCGTGGATTCGACGAGGACGGATCAGTGGAGATCAGCACAGCAGAGCTGAGCGCGAGGCGATTGCAGCGAGAATGCCAGAATACAATTCATCACCAGAATCAATAGTGAACAAAGAAGGATAACCTCATTTTGATATCGAGTAACCTCAGTCTGATATTGATATACTGTATTACTGTTATGTTGCATACAGACTATATTATACTGTATTACCATCATATCACATTATATTATAGTATATATCTTATAATACTGCACACATCATATATATATATATATAATGTTTTATGCAGTAAATTATGTTTTAATAGAAAATTCTCTTTATTAACAAAATTAAGAATTTTCAGCACTGTTGTTTGCTACTTTTGATGGTTGTTGAAATTGCTAACAGAAAAATTATTCGTTCATAATAATAAACAACAAAATTTTTTAGTAGTTCTGAAAAGTAGTGCAAAGTTTGATATTTCTACGGCAAGTCATGGCTGCTCCAACTACAAATTTTCAGAGTTACCAAGTTATTATAATGATTCCTATGCATGTTTTCTTCATATATAGGTGACTGATAACAATTTGCGTTTGAAAAGTAAATTTCATAGCATATGTTTAAGTGATGTCTGCAGCTAAGACTCAAAATTTTATGATCCATTTTTTTTTTGTTAAATAGGTGCTAGAATCACATTCAATCAGATATTTTATCACAGGAATAGCTAAACTGATAAGGATACTTGCTTGAGAAGTATTAAAACGAAATTCGAATAAGAGATTAAGAGGACGAAGAAGTTAAAACTTCGTCTAAACATTATGCACATTATTCTGAAACCAAAATTTGTTCCCTGTCAGCTTTCAGTTTTTGGAATATAACGAACTTACTGCCAATTAGTATATGTATAAAATGATGATGATAAATCGCAATTAATTAGGTTTTGTGTTGAAGAAATTACTATGATTTTTCATGAATTCTCATGAGAAATTTGATCGCAACTTAATTGTTGATGATGTGTGTGGCAACGATTTGTTTTTAGATAGTCTGCATATTGAACTGAACGCAAAAAGTTCTTAACACTTTTTGCATTATAAATTTCTAACTAGTTGGGATGAATTGTTTCAAAATTTAATTCATTGCAACTGCAGATAATTTTTATATCTAGTACTTACTGTTAATTTATGAATTTAAAAACTTGCATTCATAAGAAAGTGAAATTCAGAGTAAATATCCCAAGTACGTAAGGATATTATGTTATAATATTATTACTATGAAAAAACAATAATTATTTAGAATCATTTATGATAATATTTCACAGCGTTTAATGAAAAAAAGAACTTTTTAAACTGTATTTTTTAATATTTGGCATTTTTTTACTTTTGCTGATACAAAGTAATGTGAAAAATGAAGCTATTTTTAAGTTTTGGCCAGAATGAGATTATTTTTTTGAAATTTTATACTATGCAATTTTTAAAGTATTTCTTTCCCAAAGTGCTAATCTTTCGTTATGATCTCAAAATTAATTTGGCAAAAAATACTTTGTGCTCGTTAGTAACTATGTTTAATAGTTTATTGTTGCTAAATTATATGCAGGACAAGTAATGTTAAGCAAATGCATGAAAATATCGGTTTTTATACAAATAGCATGGATATAATGAAATAAATTATTAAATTTTAAATTGTCGCTAAATTTAGAGTAGATATGACTTCATTTATTAAAGATATTGATGAACAGTTATGTAGAAAACATGAAAATATTTTTGATCCATTTCTTATTTTATTAGCTTACTTTATCTTCATCATTATATTTTATCATAACTGCGTTTTATTTATTAATATACTTTCTAACTTTAATCACAATATTTAAATTTGGTTCATTAAAACTAATTCACACTGCAAAAAATTAAACTTATTTTCGTCTTTTTTTCATTTTTTTGAAATTTTATATCATGTAATGCAAGAAATATTTTTGCCTTTGTCTATGAATCTTTCGTTCTAATCCGAAAATTAATTTCATAGAAAAATATTTCGTGCTGGTAATAATTTATTTTTCTTCTTTTTTGACGCTTAAATATGCACAAGGCAAATCACAATTTAGTAATTGCATGCCAATATTGCTTTTTATTTACACAGGGTGTAAATAATAACATGCCTTTTCATTAAATTGTTAAATTTTAGCTTGATAAATAGTAATACAATAATTTGCTTTATTATTTTATAATTTTTCCCAATCTATTCATATATGAATGATTTTTTTTCTCATTAAAATGAATTTCTTCAGAATTTTGGTCAAATAATACTTGTTTATTTCTAATCACTATATTTTTTAACTTGTAGCACTACAGTTACTTATTTTTCCAATTTATTTATCAGTTTATTATTATTATTATTATTATTATTATTGTTATTATTAGTTTCATTGTTGCTGGTATTATTTATATCATTGTTATTATTAGTGAATATACTGGACAATTGAAAAAAGTAAAAATAAATTATTCATAAAAAATATTTAAAATGCTAATCTCAGTGCTTATTTTGTTGTAAGTAGAAAATTTGTACTATGAATTCACCACAAAAAAATCTAATAAAAACTTATCAGAATTCGCCAGTACGGCAACGAATTATAATTTATGAATGTAATTGGAAAAAACCAAAAATACCATTTTGCTTACTGCGAATGGTATCTGGTATGATGATTGGAAGTAGAATCAGTAATTCGGCTTATTTTTGGTTCTAACGCTATAAAATATTTGTCTTTGTAGTGGACGTATATATAGTGGACGTATATGTTGTGGACGTATACTTTCACTTGTTTTGCAGCCAGGAAGCTGCCAAATTTGAGTGAACTTTTTAATTATTTAATGACTTTTTCACAGTTCGCAACTATGAATGTGAACTAAATTAAAAAGTAATTCATATAAGACGTAATTCATATATATAAAAATTCATATATATAAAAAGTAATTCATGTAATTCATATGTATATTAACAATAAATTGTAATTTGAATTGGAATTAAATGTATATATTATTAAATTACTTACTGATTGCATCTATTGTTGCAAAAACAAGCATGAATCAGCAAACTAAATATACGGTATTTTCTTTAGTAGAAAAAAAAGAAACAAGAAGCAGTCTGAAGAGAATTTACTATAGATGCAAAAAGTAATCAACAAAAAATGCACCATTTTATAAACAGAAAAAAGTTTTTGGCAACGGTTTTTAATTTAATTCATAAGTTATTAAACTTGGAAGTTATCAGACATAAAAAATTTGTATTTGTATTTGATTCTGGAGAACGAATAGTCAACATTAATTAGTTTTTTGTTTATTCAAATTGAAACACCAAAAATTTGAGAAGTAAAAAATTATAAAGTTAATTTTTTTCGGATGATAATGAAGTAAAGGCCTATAGTGAAGCCGAAAATTCCTTCTCAGTACGTGGAATTCTTTATTATTCAAATTTTATTACAAGCTACTTTTAAATGATTGATGAAGTTCAAAAAATGCACAAAACGAAAGCAATTTCAATTACTTTTTAATAATTGAAAGCCTACCATTAAGATTAACAAATTTAAAAGTTTGAAAAGAACAAGTAATGATATGAATAATTTTGATTATACATAACTTAAAGCAGGCTATTTTATACTGTTGAGTTCTATAGAATTATATATGATATTTATAAATAAATTTACCTTCCTTCACTTTTTGCATTCATGAAAAGTTTTTTAGTCCTTATTTTATGCAGTAGAGAATTCTGATGTATTTATGAATACCATGCTTTTTCTAATTGTGTGACTAGTTAATTACTTGATTCTTTTCTTATTGATTCACTCTCTTAGTTACTTAGTTACTTACTTAGGTAGTAAGTTAGCTTCGCAACAAAGTGCCTTTGATAACATGGAATTTCTTGCAGAAATTTGTAGAGCCAATCACATATTTCAAATACATATTTTCATAACAAAATTATATTAAATGGATATTAAAAAATAATTAAAAGATATTTCTTTTTCTTGTTTCCATATGACTTCCGTATTTTTTGCAAAAGTTTCCATCAATTCTGAAATACACATTTTTTTTTTTGTCAAATTTTGAACTTTATTCAAAAAAACTAACTGTTCATTGATTTCTTGAAAACTTTCTTCTCAATAATCAGCCACCTTAATATCGTTTTGTATCTATCTATTAAATTCTAATAAATTTTTAGGGCGAATGCAATAAAGATTAGTGAAATTAACTATTGAATGATAAGCTTTCAGTACAATTTAACTGATTTTTAAGCATGCATATTTCAGTGAACAATTTGCTTTTTTGTTCAGTTATATAACTAAATTTCTATAATTAGCGAACTAAATTGAAGTAAGTAAATAATATATAAATTTTAAATATTCTCAAATCAAAATGATTACAAAGTAATGCTATGAATAATAAGTTTTTATTTTTATTACATTTTCGCAACTTTCTTATTTACTCGTATTTACATCTAAAAAAACAAATTGTAAGAAAATTATTTTGTTTCAGTTGTATTCATTCACTGATGGCGAATCATAATAGTGATTTGGCAATGAATATATTTCTTCTCTGTCTTTGTGTTATTCAACTTTTGGCTAATTTAATTGTGATCATTGCATTTTTCACTATTCGTTCTTTTTGGATAAATAAAAGTATTATTTTATTGATATTTCTAGCTATTATTGACTTTTTGTACGCCTGTGCATCTATACCTTACATAATTCTATTACTCGTTAACTGGACACCAGAAGGTCAGTATAATTTTTTTAAATAAATAAATAAGAAGTAAACATACGTAATGAAATGGTATTAATTTTTAATAACTTATTTTCTTCAATTAATTAGTAAAATAATGATATAAAGATCAAAAAATTGTATTTATCAGATTTGCGATCAAAGTTTGTCAAAAAAACATTGTAAATATTTATTCAGGCTGTAAAAAGCATCGATATTGGCATTAAGTGCTTTATAAATTAAGCAACTGCGTAAAAGTTATATTCCACTAATTTGTGTAGTTATTTAATAAGCAATTTATTTAAAATTATATCACATAAATTATAAGTTAAGCTTTGTATTATACGTTTAATTTGATTAGATTGCAGCAAAGATCCAATTTATGCTGCTGATAATAAAAGTATTAGTGCTATAAACACATCAAGGTAAAATATCTAAACTGAAATTTCAGTCAGGCTCAAATGAAAAAATATTTTCTTTGACAAAATGCTTTTAGGTAAACTGTACCACAGCTGTAAGTATACTATTCTTATTTTTGGTTCTACTCCTGCTGCATTCATGAAAAGTGGTTGTATGATAACAACTTTTATAGCTACAGATAGAATATGGGCCCTGTGTAATCCATTCAGTTATCACTCAGTGAATAGAAAAAGGTATATTTTACCTTTGACAGTAAGTAATGTAATTTTTTTAAAACATGTAAAAGTTTGAGTAACTTTTGCTTGCAACTGTAACAGACTTTGAGTTGATGAAAATGATTTTTATTAAAATAAAAAAGTTGAAAATTTAAATTCACCTTTTGTAATAAAAATTAATACAAATGTATTCGTTTTATAACACTTATTACAAATGCAATGCAAATTTGTAGCTTTTTATATGGTTGTTGTGCAATTTCACTTTTAATGGCAGCATTTGACTTTTCACTTGTATTTATATTATTAGATGATACTCAGCCAACAAACTGCAATGACTTTAACTGTATGATCTCTAAAGTAATCTTTTTTCCTAATTCTATTTTTTCATAAAACAGTCAGGCAACTAGTTGCACTAACAGTAAAGTCGCTTAAAATGTTACAATTTAATGAGGCACTGAGATAACCAATGCAAGGTAATAATAGTAATGCAGCTAGGAAAAAGTTTGTTGCCTTATAAAATATTCACGCATAAGACCGCTAACTGTTCGCAGCTATCGCTATGATTATGATTGTATTTTAGCTCAATAAGTTTAAAATTGGGATTATAGTACGCAATTTCAAGAATATTTGCGATTAGAAAAACAAATTTAAGATACAGTTTTTATGACTGTTTCTTGAAACAATTTCAAATATTTTAATTAATATTATCGTTATTATTTCAGAAGTTTCGTTCTTATTGGGGTATATCTAATATGATTGTTAATTTGTTTTCATGCATACTAACTGCTATTATTGTTTTCTTGTTAAAATTGAAGCGAAAAGTACCTCGTAGTAACTTTAGAGGAGACGAAGATAAATGGGTAATTTTTATCTAAAAGAGTTTCTTTTAATGCTTAAGTTATGATTAGGGAATATTTTTACTGATCATTTTTTCATTTTTTAGTAATTTTAGCTCGGTTTAAATTTGAAAAATTTTAGGCCAATCGTGTATCATTTTATATTCTAATTGTATCTGCAATATTTGGTGTACTTCCTGGAGGAATAAATGGTAGCGCAGAAAAGTTTGATTCTGCTGTAAGTTTTATGCTGCGATTTTTGCACAGAAAAAAAAATGAGCAGTCACTTTTTGCTGCAATCATCTGAAATGTATTAATTACCGCAATTATGAATTAATGATACATTCCTTCAAAGAGCATTAATAATTATTATTCCATCATTAGTTATCAACTTTTCAGAATATCATGAATTTATATTGGATATTTTTATGAAATTAGCCATAGTTTACAGAGTAACTTATTTAAGTATATAATTTTAAATATTCAAGTTAATACTAATTCTTATAATGATGCAGAAATGGAAATGTTGTTTGAATAAGCATATTAGCTTTTGTCATATTGTAATTTGTCATGGACTGTTGATTACGTCAAGCTTAGCATTCAGAATGTTTTTAATGAATTAATGTTTCAGTTTCTCAGAGAATTAGCCTTAGCTGTTGGATTATGCGCATCAATTAGTGGCGTATCACACGCATTTATTTTTGGTATGGCTCACAAATCTATTCGACACAGAATATTCACAATGCTCGGAATAAAATCGTTAAACATGTCATCACTATCCAATTTACCTCGAAATGCAATTAGCCAGCCAATAACATATATAAACCCAAGAAATTATTAATTTAACATTTTTTTTTGCAATCTGATCAAATCATATGTACTGTTAATGTGGTGTGTTGTTTACTTTTATTTAATATTTATACTGAAGTAATCATTTGTTTTTTGTATTTCAATACAATTGATTTATATCATTTATCATAAAATAAATAATTTATTATGCATTTGACATGAAATTGCTTAAAAAATGCTTATATTTATAAGGATAATACAGCACTTTCTATAAATTAAAACTTTGGAAATCAAATGTAAGTATAATTATTCTTATGCATGTCTTACGATATGTTTTCCAAATTGTTGGATAGCTTTTTGTGAATAACTGAAAACTTCAGTATGAAGTTCATACTACTTTTTAAATTATTTTGATTAAATTTTGGTATTTTGCTATCATAAAATGCATGTTTTTATAATATGACAGTCCAATGTAAATTATTGCAATAAGATTTATTTTGACTTTTGTGGACAATGATACTACAGTATTACTTTCTAATAAACTCTAATCATTGCAACAAGAAGAAAGAAGTTTCACATGACAGCAAGGAATGTCATAAAGTCATTACAAAGATAATTTGCATAAATAATTTTTGATCTATTCATCTTACAGATATTGTGTACACTATTATCATTTACAATATGAGTATTAATCTGAAAGAATTTGTCATCACAAAGTATATTTTGAATTTATCACATTCGAATTACTTGTAATCAAACAACTATAATGCTAGTCCGTTAAAGTCAATGCCATTCAAACATATGGAACTTATTTGCCTATTTTTTGCTGCAGGCTATGTGAAACCGTGAAAATTATCACACAGCAACTGTTTTTTTTTAAATTATAAAATGGCTTCAAATTGGTTATAATTCATGATCGTTTTCAAAATTATCATGCAATGAGTTAGTGAAAAAATCTTCAAAATATTTACGAGAGAAATTCAAATTTTTTATTTGAAAGAAATGCAAATAATAAGGAAACCATATGGGAAATGCTTGGAGTTAAAGTTTTGTGAATTGACTGAGATTACATGAAAAAATGCTGCCACTTAAATTATATTTAGAAAAGTGATACTTTATTTTAATCAACAGAAATTATTGTTTTAAGACTTATTTGACTTTTACTGATTACCATTCAGTGAAATTTGAAAATACATTACAGTTATGAAAAAATCTGTGCTAAATTGGAAAGTAATACTTCTAGGAATATAAAGAAATTAATGCAATTTTGTCTACCAAAAAATTGATTTTAATTTTGAATTAATTTTACTTTAGTAATCACTGCAAGACATTTTGAGAATTGACCTTCTGCTAAAACTACTAAAGTATCGCATGAGAAGGGGCAATTATAGCAAAAAATAAATACTTCAATGCTTTAAAAAACAAATAAGTCATTAGAAATAAAATTTTAGTGCATGGGATGAGACGGATAATTACAAATCGCTTTCACTATAACATGAAAATGATTAATTTCTCATTACGAATAATCCGTAAAATATTGCTTCCCGTATTCACTGAAAATATTTAATTCATTAACTATTCAAACAATTTCACTCATAGACCGCGATCTTTTGTATAATGTCTTTCAAAGCTTGAATCCCTAAATTTCCACTTGTTTTTTAGATTTCGATTTACATTTTAATCACTATTGCATCATTATTTTCAGTATCCAATGTGAATAAATGCTTATTGAACAATATTTTGCGTAGAACTCACTGATTATACGCTACTTTGTATTACTGTTCCGCTTACTGATAAACTTGAATCATTATTAACCGAAATTTTGAAGTGGCTGAAGTAAGTGAAGTTTGATTGTTATCAGAAATTATCAAAAATCACTAATCGAAATAAATACATATAACTAACATAGCTGCTGCTGAAGATGATGAATAATTTTGTAAAAATTTGTTGCCCTTAACAAATAACAAAATTGTTTGCAGTGCTGCAATTTGATAAGTTTACTCAAATTTTACATTATTTTTTCAACTTTTAGTACTATCAAAAAGATAGTTTTGAATCAATTGACAATGTCTAAAAAATTTTTGTGATATAGAAAATTTACTGCATTGATTTTTGAATTTTAATTCTGCGAAATATTAAAAATTTAGTACGTATTAAGATGCTTGGTTCAGCATTCATTATCAAATAATTTTGCATCTACAATAATAACTATGAGTTCATAAATTTACAATTTATAAAACTGCTATCTTTGATTGATAACAATATAATATCTTCACTGACTCAAATGTTAAGAAATCAGTATTTTTCGAAAAACAAATTATTCACTAAACTTATTTGCTTTCACACGTACTTTATTGTAATTGCTATTGTGATGGTAACAACAATTAAGAGAAGAAATTCTGAAAAGCAAAGTAAAATGTTCAAATTTATATGAGTAAATATAATTAATCCAATTAAAAATTTTTCACTCAAAAAAAGTTTGAATTATGTTTGACTTATTGTTTTAACTGTGAGTGAAAATTTTGTAACAATTCCATATTTAATATTGCTCCTAATGATTTCAGTTTAATAATTGAATATAATTGCTGTAATAATTTTAGCTTGTAAACCAATATGAGTAAAAATTGAATTTACCGATTTAAAGTTAAAAATTAAGTGCAATTTGGAAGTAACAAAATTTGACAAAAAGTTGCAAAATGTATGAATGTCTGCTTCAAACTAACTTCAAATCTGCAAATTTTTATCTCAAAAAATAAAAATAAAAAAACATTTAATAATGATTGTGATAACTAAACATTGTTTGATTCAATTTTGAAGGAAAGCAGTTATCAATTAACGCTTCACCAAATCGCTTTGTATTCACAATTATAAACAATTGAATAACAACGTTATGAATGAAAGTTTTGAGGAGCTAGATATGTTTGAGCTACCAGAGAGTAGCAAAATAGCTGTACTGAATGTATTTGCGTGGTATATTCGTTCTTTCGGTTATTTATTGACCGGATTATTTTTATCAGTAATAAATATTCCACTGTTTGCAATAATCGTTGTAAATAGTAACCTGCGGTAAGTTTTAATAGAAATGCTTTTCTTATTTTGTAAATCATTAAAGTTTGAGTATTATATCCAAATTGGTAAATAACTATGGAAATTTCTTGATATTTTTGGCAAAAAAACAGTAGCAAATGCAAAATTTGTAGTATATTTTCAAAAGTCTAAAAAAGTTTTCTTTGTATCATCAAATCAAAATCATTTGAATTATGAAAATCCCGTTGAACCTAGAAGTAAAAAGATGCATATATCAGTTGCTTTTACAATTGCTTTATTTTATCTTTTTCCAAGTAAGTCAGAATTATTAAATAAATTAACTGCATTTTGCAAAAAAAAAACATGCAGAAATGATCTTTTGTAACAAGACAAAAAAATACGCATCTTTTTCAAAATTTCATCTCTCTGATTTGAATTATTCTTTTTAAATTTCAACTATTATTAGTGATAATCAATCACTTAATTCAAATCAATCATAATGCTTTTTTAAATTTGATAATTATATCAATTTGAATTTTTGATTATTACTGCAGCTATTATTCCTTTGATATTATTTACAGATCTTACTACTTGATTTTGGCTTTCATATTTGTTCACGGTGGTTTAACTGGTTTGTTAACAATATGTTATGGAATTGGAAATTTTACAAGGCGTGCTCTCCTGAATGAATTAATTTCTAATAAACACTGTTTATTTCGGGTATTTTATCATAATTTCGACTTCCAAAGAAATAATCAAAAAAATATAGAATCTTAAGAAATGAATAATTATTTACTAAATACACATGTTAATAATGTTAACGATTCGTTTTTTAAATTTCTGTACTAAAATAAAGCATTTAATTATTTTTGTATTATATTGGAAGAAAAAGTAAAATTTGGCAATAGTTTTATCAATTACTAATCAATATCTATTAAAAAAAAAATTGTAAATTAATTTTGGTTTCAAAGCCTTTCCGAAAATCTACCATTGGTAATTTATCATAATATCAGTGAAGTTTGGGCAAATTCCCTAAGCTATTTGACTTTTTTAGTTGCTTACAGACTTTTCAAATTACTGATTTTTACAGTTGATTGCATTATAACATGAATCATTGCAATTAGAGCTGATGCTTACTGCTGAAAGTAGGACATAATATAAAAATGAAAAATTATGAAAAATTATTCAATGCAAATTTAATATGTTTAAAAATTTGAAATTCAATTTTTTCAGTTACTTTAGCAAACGTGTTTACTTTCTGAAAGTTCTAAGCAGTTGATTACCATTTAAGATAATGACATGCAATTTCATTCAAATAATTAAAACATAATAAAAAGCATAAAAACAGCAAGATTTTACATCGGAAATAACATCATGAATTCCTTGACCTTTGCGATTTTTAGCTATTATGATCAAAACTGAGGATTACAAAATGCAACTAAATGCTTTGAATTGTTTGCGCCGCAATTTTTAATTGAAAATTCGAAAAAGTTTTGAAAATCTTTTTGTTTTTTTTTATAAATGACTTCTTTTGCTAGAAACAATCAGAAACTCAACAAATTCCTGAATAGTGGCTATAATATATATTGCAGAAAATTATTTACTTGAAATCATTGCAACTGCAGATAAGTACTGGACTCATGCAAATGAAGTTATTAAATGCCAGTGGTTTACTAATCAACAGCGTTGACCGATTTTTGGTTGCGACTTATCCACTGTATTATTTTCGGCATCTTGGAAAATTAAATTTTACTTTATTAGTTATACTGTACATAGTTCCAATTATTTGCTCTGCAGCAGCTATTATGATCACATTACTTTCCCCAGCAAGAATGATAAAGAGTATTTGTGCGTAAGTTTTACTTTACCTTTAAGTATTGACTGAATTGAAATTAAATTGAATTATTTTTCTCTTTGAAAAGTTTTATAATGCAGAATAACTTGATAGTTAGTTTTGCATACAAAAATTACAAATTAGTATAAATAATTTTAACTAAATGTTAATTGTACGGTTCTCATGTCAAG